ACTTTTTTTTCTTTAAAGATTGTATTTATTTATTTGAGAGAGAGAGAGAAAACACAAGTGTGAGTGGGGGGAGGGGCAGAGGGAGAAGGAGAGAGAAGTTCAAGCTGATTCCTTGCTGAGCACGGAGCCCGAGGTGGGGCTCAATCTCATGACCCTGAGATCATGACCTGAGCCGAAATCAAGAGTAGGATGCTTAAAAGACTGAGCCACCCAGGTGCCCCCAGGCTTATTTTTAAAATTGAGGAGCTAAACCATGCAAAAGATCAAGTTATCTAATGATGTGAGGCAGCATGGCAGAGAGAAAAGAGTATTGACTGGGCTGGTGTCAAGAGACCCAAGCCAAAAATGATTCCATAGTTCCACGGTTTTATACTTGGTGGACAGAGAAGAAAGCAGCTGGTTATATGGTGACTAATGAGAATAAGATAGTTAATATGGATTTGAGGGTGGTATGATAAGTTCAATTTTCAACAATAAAATTGTACACGTCAGGGAGGCCGAGATATTTAAGAACTCATTTTTATTTTTTTTAAAGATTTTATTTATTTATTTGACAGAGAGAGACACAGCGGGAGAGGGAACACAAACAGGGGGAGTGGGAGAGGGAGAAGCAGGCTTCCCACGGAGCAGGGAGCCCGATGCGGGGCTTAATCCCTGGACCCTGGGATCATGACCTGAGCCAAAGGCAGATGCTTAACGACTGAGCCACCCAGGCGCCCAGGGAGGCCTTAAATGAAGTCTCACAGGCCATTTAAGTAATAGACCTGGGTGGGATATAGGGAACAATTATGTCTGGGTATGTATATCGCAAAGTAACTTCTAGTAAGGGGAGCTGAAACCATGAGAGTAGAAGAAGTCCCTGAAACTGAAGTGTAAAGGGAATTGGAAACTGGGAATTGAAAATGGGGAAATATTCCCTGAGAAGGAGGTTGAAAAGGGGGCTAGGTAGAAAATGAGGTTAAAAAAAAAAAAATTAACTCCTGGGAAAGAGTTTCAAGAAAGAGAAATGCTAAAAGCTGGCACAAAGTTTAGGAGAAAAATAACTGAAACTACTCGATTTGGTGCTTTTTTAGAAAATGATTATTTCTATCCCAAATTTGTGTGAAAAGACAACAGGTATACACGGAACAGGGTGAAGAATATGGGCTTGAAACAGGTTCAGAATCCACTGTCATCACTTATTAGCTGTGACACCTTGGATGATTCATTTACCCTCCAAGCCTCAGGTCCCCAATTGCGAATTGGATATAAACCAATATAACTTAAAATAAGAATTAGAGATAACAATTAGAGATAAACACATTGCTTAGTGTCTGGTACATACTAATTAAATTATAACTACTATAATTACATTTGAAGAAATCCATGTAAATTTTAATTTCAATATATTTTAATAAATCTTAAGTTACATAGTTTTGACTTCATAGTTATATAGTTTTATAATTTACATTATTATAAATTATTTACTTGAAATTGTTAAGAAATTATTAAGTAATTATGCATCAGTTCTGTTGTCCTGGGCAAGTTATTTAATCACCCTGTGCATAGTTTACTCATCTGTAAAATATGAATACTCCCTAGCTTATTTCAGAATTGTTATAAAGAGCACAGAAGACATGAAAAGGCTCTATCAAGCAGATATCTCTAGGCAGGTTATCAATATATTCATGACAAGGAAAATTTGTTTTTCCCAAATTAGATGTCCACTTTTAACACCTGTCTGCTTTTCTTTAATAATAAACAAGAGAACTGTGGCACACAGTGGCCACATAACTTGCTTATATTCAAATCCAAAAGCTGAATACTAAGTCTTCTACGTCTGAGGTCATTAGAAAACTGAGCCAAAATAGCAACATTTATTAAAAAGCAAATTTCAGGGGCGCCTGGGTGGCTCAGTTGGTTAAGCACCTGCCCTCGGCTTGCATCGTGATCCCAAGGCCCTGGGATCGAGCCCCGCGTCGGGCTCCTTACTCAGCGGGGAACCTGCTTCTCCCTCTGCCTTCTGGCCCCCTCCTGCTTGTTCTCCCTCTCTCTCTGACAAATAAATAAAATCTTTAAAATAAATAAATAAAAAGCAAATTTCAGACATTTCAAATAACACATTCCTTAGTTTTAACTTTGATAACAGCTCCATTCTCTTTACAAATGATGACTTATATAAAAGAGTAAAACATACCATTAAAGCCCAAATTCCATTCACTCGCAAAGCGGGATTTTCACTTTGCGTTAATCCACAAAGCAGTTCTACAGCTCCAGATTCTAAAATTGGCTGTGATTGGAAAAAAAGCACAGTTTTAAAGTCAGGTTTGTGACTAAATGTGCGTATACCCTGGCGCTCTGCTTATGATTTCCTTCCTACTCTCACCCAACTCCAGGAAATTTTTGTATAGCAGGGAATCAGGTGGACATAAAAATTACCACAAAAAGGGCAAGAACAATTAGGTCTTTCACAAATTCAAAAGCCAAAATAGTCCTAGTAATTTCTCTTTTCTTTGTAGCTCTGAAAGACTCAGGAGCTGTCCTAATTTCTGTACATTCTGCACATGCCCTTATGATTCCACTATTTACTTCCACACTCTCCTAACCGTCCTTTGAGACACTCACTTCCTGCATGGTGCACGGGTGTATCCCTTGTGTCCTTTACAAGCTGGGACTATGACAACATAGCTGGTTTACATGGAACTTACAAACCAAACTATCTTCTTTCCAAACTGTCAATGTTATTCGAAACATGCTGCAGAACTTTCAGGACTATCTATCAATTGTACAAGCAAAACAGTTGTATACTTTTATAGTCCTATCACATTCTCCACCTAAAATAGCATGCTTTAGCCTGACCACTCATTTTATTTATGATCCTTGGCTGAAAACAGGGTTTGATAATTTCTAAAAAATTCACACCTTTGAGGACTGATCTACTGTCACCCATGAATGTTTAAAAGGCCCCCTTTCAAGTGGACTCTAGAACTGTCTTAAGCAGTTCAGACTTACATAGGGAGAAAAAGGGCAGTGACTTTCAAGATGACATTTTGAAGGATATACATTCCTCTACTTGTACAAATTGATTTTGTTTCTTTTTAAAAATTTCTTCTTTGAGTATAGTTGACACACAATGTTACATTAGTTTCAGATGTACAACATAATGATTTGACAGGTTTATACATTATGCTACGCTCACCACAAGTGTCTGCTACCATGTATCACCATACAGTGCTATTACAATCCCTGTTATTCCCCAAACCTACTCATCATTCCATAACAGGAAGCCTGTATCTCCCTCTCCCTTTCATCCATTTTTGCCCATCTCCCCACCTCCTGTTTTGGTTTTTGTTCTTTTGAAGTAAGTTCAAACTTAGGAAGTAGCAAGAATAAATGTAAGGTGCTTCTACCACATATTCTTTTCCCAGACCCAACAATTTTTAACATTTTGCCGTATTTATCATTATCTCCTTTGTATGCCCATATCCACATTCTTCATCTTTTTCTGAACCATTTGAAAGTAGAACATATACATCATGCCCCTTTGCCCTTAATACTTCAATGTGTATTTCCTAAGAACAAGGATATTCTCTTAGAATCACAGAACAGTTACCAAATTCAGAGAAGTTAGCTTTAAAACAATACTTTTATCAAATCTATAGCCCATATCCCAATTTTGTCAACTGGAGTAATAAGTGCTTTTATAGCATTTCCTTCCCTTCCAGTTCAGGATCCAGTTTATTTTTAATACAAAAAAATCAATCATATTATTGACCCTACGTCTGAGCTCATCTACCTTAACTTCTAACCAGACCCTATCTATATATGCTGAAAGTGGATCTGAGGCAATATGAGTGCTGTTCAGGGTGATTAATGGTATAGTACTGACTGCAACCAGATCATCATCATGCCAAGACCCCAACCACCAGAGCAGAGGAAAACAGATGGAAACTCTGGTATCCTGTCTCGACTTTCTCTTCCTTCAGAGTAACTACCAGTCTTTCCCCTTTTGTTCCAAGATTTCTGCTTTTTGAATAACTGTCTCTGAACCTCCACCTTGTTACTAAATGCTTTCCTCATTACCAGTCAGAAGCTTACAGGTGTTACAATGCTAAAAGGAAATTCAACCAAAATGGAACTACTAAATAAAGGACAGTGTCTAAACCTCAGCTCACGATTGGGCAGACCAGAGATATTTTAACATGATGAAATGAACTCTATAAGGTTCCCTCCCTCCTTTATTAAAGTGTATTGTAGTTTTCCCTAGTATAAAAACAATACATGCTCAAATAAATTTATAAAATGTATAAAAGGGAAAAAATATTCCCACATGTAATCCCTCCCCAAACAACTACCATTAACATTAAACATTAAAAAGATTATTTTCCTGGGCACCTGGGTGGCACAGTCAGTTAAGCATCTGACTCTTGATTTCGGCTCAGGTCATGATCTCAGGGTTGTGGACTGAGCCCTACGTTGGGCTCTGTGATCAGTGTGGAGCCTGCTTACGATTCTCTCTCTCCCTCTCTGTCTGCCCCTCCCCTCACCCTCTCTCTCTCCACCCCCCTTAAAAAAAAAAAAAAGGTAAAAAGATTATTTTCCAGCAGTAATCTCCCTGAAATGACTTACAATCCTGGTTTATAATTGATCCTTAATTTATTCTTTAGTATATACAGTTTGAAAATAATCTGTTCTTTTGTAATTAGATTTGTAGTTGTGGGCAGTTTAGATTAACTATAAGCTATAATATCCTTTAAATAAGTTGCACATGCCAGGCAGAAAAGGGAGAACAGGAAATTAAACCACATTTTAAAATTATTTTATTTGCACACACACCACCAAACAATTCAGAAGTAGTTCTTTTTTTTTTTTTTTTTTTTAAGATTTATTTATTTATTTGAGACAGAGAACAAACGGGGGATGGGCAGAGGGAGACGGAGAGAAACTCAAGCAGGCTCCCTGCGGAACTGACACCGGGCTGGATCCCACGATCGTGAGATCATGACCTTGAGTCACCCAGGCGCCCCCCTGCCCTGAAGTAGTTTTTACACCCCAATCCAGAAATTTCAAAGTCAACTACTATGAAAATTATTTGACTAAGTTCTAGGTAGACTGGGCAAAGTCTAGGAAGAGAAAATCGATACTAACCTCTTTGCTTGGAGAAAATTCAAGAAGAAGATTACATAGCATGGAAGATGCTACTACTAGGATTTCATCTGGTGCATTTTGTAAAACCTATGGAATTTAAAAAAGGAATGCTATTAATGGTTTGGAACAATGGAGGTGAGATCTAAGAACAAATGAGAACCAAAAACAATTTATCTTTCAACTTGACTTTTCATATTGGATAGTTAGGAAAGATCCACTTGTGATCGTGTCAAACTTTACCTGGTGCTCTAATTATGACTAAGGCCCTCACACCTATCTTGCTGGAGAAGCTACAGCCCCACTGCCAGGATGGGAGGTGCTGCACAGAAAGAGATAAACACATAAGTCAGGGAGGGGGTGCTCTATATGAAAAGTTTGAACACCATGGGGCTGCTTTAGGACAAGTTAGTTCAATTTACTCCACCATATCAGGCCACTTATGAAACCACATATTGCCCCAGAGCCTGAAATGTTCTGATGTGTGCATCTCTAGAAGGACTTGTTTGACCAAAGCAGGGATGAATCAAGCTACTATACAGCTAGGGCAATGTGGGGACTGGTTTTGAGGACTGGAATCACAGCCCTGGTTCCAACCCTCCTCTTCACTTCCTAGCTGTGTGAACTTGAGCATATTTCTTAAACTCTCTTAGTCTTTGAATTGAAGAAAACAACACTTCCTTGACAGGAGTTTTTAAGATTAAATGTGATAAGGTGAATGTTAAGGGAAGCAACATAACATGGGAGTAAAGGATGCAGACTGCCTGAATGCAAATTTCAACTCAAACACTAAATAAGTGTATGAATTCCTTGGCTATAAAATGGGGATGATGGTGTTGTGAGAATTAACATATGAAAAGATTTTAGAACAGTAACTGGCACACAGTAATGGCTATAAAAATAAAGTTTTTACAAAGGTAATTTATTATTGTAATTGTTATCATCAGGCACATAGTAGATACATAGCAAACTAACTGCCATGGACTCTCACTCAACTCAGAAGACAACAGAGCACAATGACAAATGTTAGTCACCATTAGCTATTATCAGAACCTATTTTTCTAGATTCTAAGGGTGAAGGCTTCATAAACACCACCACTTATATGCAATTTCCACTTCAACTAAATCCTCTGCATTTGGGATCAGATCAGGATCAGACCTCATGATCCCAAAAGGAATCTTAGAAGCTCTTGTTATGCAAACTGGAAATGGATCATCACAAAAAACTTCAGAGAGTTAAATATATTATCTGCTTTCTTGAGCTAAATCAAGTCTGAAGTTCCCAAGTTAAGAATAAGCGAGAATTACAAAATAGAAATAGTTGTCTTAAGATACTGCATTTTAACTCTCCTGTGAACTGTCAGCTGGTTGATGAAGATCAAATCTCATATACTATGCATCCTGATCTGTGTTTGCCACAACCTCCTCTGAGATCATATAGCCTTTCCCTTCCCTTGCCATGCCCTTCCTTTATCCCTCAGGTACACACCCTACTCATTTTTTAAGGCCATCCCCATTCCAGAAGCCTCCTTGAAGCCCTTCCAGTCAGAAGTCATTCTATCCTCCTCTGAATAACCACAGCCTTTGTTTGTGACCTTTCCTGGGACCCTTATTACTATCTACTATTCAAATTCTTTGTGCAGTCATGCCAATCTCCTTTTCTATTAGTAAATTTAAGCTTCTTGAAGGACTAATCTATCTATGGTCTAATTTATCCTGGCCCCTATCAACCGAATGGCACTGCACAAAAGGGGTGCTCAATGAATGTTTGTGAATTAAGAAAAATAATCATTTTCCAAAATTATACTACTTAGAATCATTGCTTGAAATAAGTGAGTGCCTACCAAGGCTTTAAAACGTTGCTTTGCTCAATACAAATCACTTTAAAAATACTACTTTTTGTTATATAGAGATTAATGTGCTTTTATCAAGTTTTATTTTCAAATGAGATAACAATGATAAACTAAAACAGAATAGATCATATGAAAATTTTAAAAGCATTTACTCAATGTGGTATAAGATATAACACTGAAATTCAGCAGCTGACATCTAACACTGACCAAATAGAATTTCACCAAAATAAGGACAAAAAATAATGACAAATAAAATTTTTAATTAAAATTTAATGCCCACTCCTCTGTAGTTTGCTAACCAACAGTTGAAAACATGGCAAAGCCAAAGGGGAAAAAAATCAATAGACATGCAAACAGCCTTGAACTAAGAGAAACCTACAAGTATCTGAAATAAATCACTGATTGACTTCTAAGCTCAAGCTTTTAGTATTATACTTTGTGCAACAAAGTAGTGGTTTGACAGTAACTATACTCACATGTACCCAAGTGTACAAAATCCTTCTAGATTGCTCACCAAACCTTTGTCCAGGTAGAACTAGCTAGAAACAATATGTTGCCCCATTTCTGATTCATATGATAGAGGGGTACTGAACTGAGCAATTAGAGAAAATGGCTCCAGAGGAAATATCTGGAAGT